TTATCAGTATCACTATCACCTTAGTTTTGAAATAAAGCCATTTTTCAATAGATGAATGTCTTCTTTTGCCTATTGTTTAAAAAATGTATAATAAAACAATTATTGAATTCGGTTTTCGCATGATATCATGAATTATCAAAACCTCGTGTCTGTATTATCTGCCTCAGACAGACCTCGGTTTTGATAATTCATGATATCATGCTCAACCTCATCCAATTATTGTTTAATGTTTTCAAGATTACAACAGCATCTTAAACGTACGTAATTAGTGTTATGAAATTTAAATTTTTGAAAATTTTCATCACCATCATCATCTCAAATGTCATCACTATAATCAACATCATACATGTAAACATCTTTATGTTGACCACAAGAACCCACATCCAATTCAATTAAGACCAATATTATCTTATTACTTTATGCCTGCAAAATATTTATTTCTGTCATATTGAACAATCAGCCACAATGATCATGAATAGTTCCTGTGGAGGAAAGTTATCTGGTATCTGGATGTACATGTATCATACAACTCTCTAATGACCCTAAATACTTTTCAGGAGGAAGAGACAAATGACGAGGGGACATTTTTAACCCTTTAAGTCCCAATAGTGATCAACATCAATTTTCTCCTAATGATATCCATACATTGGCAAGAGAAAAGGTTATGAGAATTAATAAAATGCTCACCAATGCTTTGATCTTTTATCAAATTCTCTCAACTAATTCTTAAAGGAAATGTATGGAGACCAGTTTGGAGAATTTGTATGTGGATATTGGGGCTTAAAGAGTTAAGGGAGTTTAAACTCTTCTCTTCTGACACTAAGTCTGCCTAGCATAATGTTAATTAATGTATGACTATTCATTATATCTCTTGTGAATAAAAACAAAACCTGCAGTAATAAAACTCATGCCATGATAGCAGAGTGTTCTTGTAAATTGTAAATATCTTACTATCCATTCCCCTCAGGGCTGTAGAAGAATAATTTACAACACTGGCTGGGGGACTTATGTCAGACTGCATGTCATGCAGTTTAGAAGTAATGAAGTAATGGGTAATGATTCTCCCATGTGAGTATAAATTTGAGATAGACCACCACACTGGGGACTATGTTCCCTACTCTTTCCCAAACAGTGTGAGGGTTCTTTCATGTCCCTCAGTATTTATTACATGAGCAAGGGTTGTGAGACGGGGCCTACAGTTTATTGTCTTTATCCCAGAAGACTAGAAAATTTAACCATCTGCAGGTAACATTATAAAGGCGGCACTTTCTCCTCAGTTATCTAAGGACCCAGAGTGTTGGTCTTGCGGGAGTTTGAGCCAGTGGCCTTTTGCGCAGCAGACTGGTGTTTATCCAATTGCACTACCCTGGCAGCCGTGGCAGCTGAAAGATTCTGTTATAAAGAACAAAGTACACACGCATCATGCCAGCAATAGTATTGAGCAACCTCACCTTCAAAGAATTCTTCAAAGTTCATTCCTTCAACACAACACTCATACATGGTTCTTGCACTGCCTACTAAAACCTGGTAGGAAAGATACAACAAGTGAACTCACGAACCACTTGGTTCTTAAAGTCAGTCCTAAAATCAGTGACTTGCAGTGATTTTGTAACCCCTGCTTCCTGCACTCCTAATGCATAAAAATCCCCAAAGACGCAAAAAAAATTCATAGCATGCTTCCCATGTACAGATGTAGGATGCAAAGATCGATCAATCGATCTGAAGATAATGATCTGAAGGTGTTTCTATAGAATATCTTGTTTGTGCTATTTTTGTGGCATTTAATGTGGCTGTTATTTAAGGATGAATACATTAATTTTATTTCAGTCTCTTTTGTGCTTCAAGTAGAAGGACCATATTCTAATTTCAGTAAACTGTAATAATACAGAGTTTTGAAGTCTGCTTCAGATTAACTGTCTGGTTTCATAAAGACCCAAGCATTTTCAATTTAGGACTCGTATTTTGAACTGGGACTCGCTGATTCTGGACTGGGACTAATAATTATTATTTTTATTATTATTTTTTACAAGATGAGTTGTAAGAGACAGAAAATGAACCTTATATGGTGTGGTCTTCGGTGACCGCGCATTAAGATATCGCGGGCGCTCTTTCCCACGAAGCACATGTTTGTTATGGAGTTGTACTGTAATCGTTTCGTTAGGAGAAGTTTTCCTTGCCATTAGAAGGCACAATAACTTGTAAGTATACAGCAATTTCGGTTTATTCGGTCAATATCATCTTTGTAATAGTCGCGTTGTTGTTATTTCAGCGAATCCTTCTCTTTCACGTGCAATTTCTGAATGGAATGAATACAAGTTATGTGCAGATTAGAAGCGAACTAGCAAGTGGACAGCTGATTAAAGTTTACAGTTACAAGCAGCTATGAGTGGAGGCTACATGAGCACTAGTCCCAGGACTCCCCATAACTATTTGTAATCTGATTGTAACAAAATCACCGGACTTGTATACAAGCCAATGAACACATAAATAAAACATAAAAACAATACCTCAAACATATACTATAGTTAGAAATTTGCAAGAGCAACAATAATAATTGTTTGACGTCTGTCCCCTTTGAATAAACTACATGTAACAACAACAAAAATTGTTTTCAGAAGTAGAAAAAAAGGAAGCAATCATATGGCAAGATTCATGGAGTCACACAGATATCATAACACTTACAGTCCTTTTCACCAATGGTCCAGCAATTACTCGTAAAACTTTTATGCCTCTATCTATCAATGTTCCTCCACTCGACAATTTTTCTTCCATTGCATCAACACTGCCCTCTGATCCCTAAATAGAACCGTAAAGAAAAATCAAGAGGAAGAGGTCATAAACAATATTTCAGAGAGATGTCAAACAATATTAATTGATGATAGCTGTAATTACCACTGCATTACTTGGACCAAGCTGGCCATGATTAAGACCTTGACTGAGTTTCTTTTTTTGTTTTTTAAATAGAGTGCATCGTTGTCTTCTTCTTCCTTTTCTATCAATATCATTGGAAGTGAAAATCAATGGACCCACGATGATTTTTGAAAGGAAAAAAAGGGTTTAGACTGTAGTAATTTGGATCATCTGATTGTGGGTTAGTCAGCAAAAGCCTGTTTCAGACCCACAGTAATAATATTGGCACTAGCTGTTGTCAGGGTTCTGCTATACCTGTGCTGTTGACTGGAACCTGCCATTCTGAAGGGAGGGATGGAATGATGTGTATCTAGTCCATTTATCACTGGAACCATATCCATAACGTACCAGGCCACAAGCTATGCATCTCACAGGAGTCTATTGAGGTAACAAACCACTACATTGATCTTTTGCCAAAAGTCAAGTAAAACCTTTGTATAGGGAATGGTACGTTCTGTTTTTTTTTTTTGTTTGTTTGTTTGTTTTTTCCAAGATTTGATGAGGCCAAGTTTGCAAATATCCATGGAAATTTCAAATAATAGTTTAAAGGTTAAAAGTCATACGTTTAAAATAAACAAAGACATTGCATCACAAAGTTAGAAAATTTTACAGACATTTATCAGGTGGGTGGCTCAAACTTGCACCCTATGGTACAAATGTCTGTAAAAATTTGTGTCTTTGCTAAGCTTCATCCTTATTAGTTTTCAGTCATATATTTTTAATCTTGGCAAGTTTGTTAATTTCCAGACCCTTTTTCTGGCAGTGTTAATGGATTTTTGCTGACTGCTCCATGCCAAAACTTGAAAAGGCAGTAGAAGGGCCTGTTTCACAACTTTTCTTGACAACAGCCAGGAACCCATCACCTAAGAGTCTCCTTTCAACTCCAAGGTCACAGACTGTTACATTTTCAACTTTTTTTTTCTTTCTTACATTGTGCCTTGTTCTTCAATACTGGAATCACCTCAGTTGCTACATATTTGAACTTGACAATAAATTTGAAGACTATCTGATAAACATTTTAATTAAACTACCTTTGCTTGACAATTTAAGGCCCAATACAAATGTCAAATTTCCAATGCCAAGTTTTATTCAAGAATTAACTGCATGTGAGATGCAACATCTGAATCAATTAAATCTGACAGTTTTAAATCAAATACGACTTTGCGGAATCTGCGACTGAAACAGTCAACATTCAACTTAGGTTCCGCATTTGATTCAGACACAACATTACACATGGGGCAAATAGAATGCATTAATTATAAGAAACTATTACCCATATTAGCTTTCAAGTTGTTTTGTTTCATGTCTGAATCGTACTTAACTATCTAGGCTTTAAATTCGACACATCAATTGCGGTTGATTTGATGAAAATCTTATATTGCTCTGATATATTGGGTTAAAGTTTTTCCGGTTGAAAGCATAAAATCACCCGTCTGAAGTTACTCCCCTAACTCATTACTGTAATTTAAATCTTACCCAAGAGATACAAGAAGCTTTTGTCATCATACATAACAACGCATAACTCGTAGCTTCAAGGAAATGTGTTACGTTATGTAACAGCAACACGGAGTGAATAACAGCAAAATCAATCGTGTGTATTAAGCAACCAATTACTCAGTTACCTGAACAACCTTGGCTGTACCAGAGGGATTCAATAACCACAATCGTCCGAAGATGCCGGTAGATCGGTACAAAATCGTGTTGGCCATGTAGAATTGCTGTGCGATTTGGAGTTCAGCAGTTTGTCGATTGAAGGATCGAAGCTAAACTTCGAAAGCACAACCTCTTCCACCTACCAAGGCGCAACAAGATACAAACTACAATCAATCAGCGACTTGAATACATGGAATTCCAATGGATAGTCCGGTCAAATATTTGACGATATGGATATTTAGGTGTTAAGCAAAGAAGCAGAAACTTACACTATTGCGTAAAACCCAGCAATTCGGCCATGTTGTCCGATATACTTGAGCCCATTGACTTAAATGTCCAGCGGGAAACAGGTGAAGAGTGGATCTGTCATGTATGGGGACATATCTTGTACCTACTTTGGAACCCAGTCTGCTGGCAGTCTCCTAGTACTTGCAAAGATGGCAGCCACATCCACGACAAGTCTTGTCAAAGAAGTTGTCATTGTTGATGGCTTGCCAACGGTTGTATCGAAAATTTTGCCAAAGAAACGTAATAACAAGTACGTAATTGTTGTGATCCCTGGAAATCCAGGTTTGGTGGAGTTTTATGATGACTTTGTGATCACCTTGTTCAATTCTCTTCACGGGCAAAGTCCGGTGTATGCTATTTCACATGCAGGTAGGCATTGATTGAAAAAAACAGGCAGCCAATTACAAGCTTAAGGTGTTTTACTTGACAGAAATGCTCTCTTCCTTTTCTTCTATATTTCTTATTTCTTCTTCTTATTATTATTTTTATTTCTTTATTTTTTGTGCTTTCTCTTTTTTCGCTTCTTTACGCACAATCTGCATGTAAGTAATAACTGAAGTCCCTATTGGGCTTCAATCACAGGTAGACAAAGTTCCCCGAGCCATGTTTCTCTTATAAAGTATGAAACCCCGGGTTTTGTAGTGCGCTCATCTAAAAGTTTTTTTCCTGCCTCTGTTTTAAAATCCAGGGCTCGAAATAATGGCCAGTTGACCGGTCAGACGATTTGGTCTTGCCAGTCATGTTGACCGGTCACATTCGATTCGGATTGTATTGAAAATGAAATAAATTAAAATTTTCATGCTGTTCAGTTGTTTCAGTCGTTATTAGTATGTGGCGAGTTGCTGTGTATTGCAGATCTTTGATCTGAAATCCTGGGTGAAATGCGACTAGAACCATTGTTTACAATTAGCATACTGAAACAGACATCGGGGTTCACGCACTTCCAGTCACAAAATTAAAAATATCTTCACTTCTACTAGTTAAGCAACAAACTTTTAATTTCTGGAAATATATAATGCCAGTTTTGGTTCATGCACTCTTGTTTTAAGAGTTTTAAGAGTTATTCATCATAAATTTGACTGTTCAGAAATGATATGTGACCGAGCTAAAATGAACTTGGCTGGTCCTTATGTCCAGAGACTCCAGAAATTATTTCAGGCCCTGAAATCAAAACATATGACAGATTATCTGTTCCAAAACATTGTGAACCTCTCTGCCTGTCATGAATATTTTTTGAACTTACGTAATTCTCGCTTTGTTTTTCTCCTCTTAGGTCATTCACCAGCAGAAGATTACTTGGCAAACCCAGATCAGAATTGCTTGTCAGTAGATGAAAATGAAACAAAAGAAGCAAACAGCCTTCCGCTGAGCCTTAAAGAACAAATTGCTCACAAAAATAAATTCCTTGAGGGCCACATTTCCACTCACTCTAGAATAATACTTATTGGGCACTCTATAGGAGCTTATGTAATATTAAATCTTCTCAGAACTTGCCAGAGGGCATCAGACATTACCAAAGCATTCCTTCTGTTTCCAACAGTTGAGCGAATGGCCATTTCTCCAAGTGGACGATACGTCACTCCACTGGTGACTTATTTTAAGTGGTTGGCAATTGCTTCAAGTGCTGCATTTTCAATTTTGCCTGCTTTTGTCAAAGAGTTCCTTGTGCGCTGGTGGTTAAATGACAGAAAGCGACTGAGTTTAAGCTCAGTGGAGTCTATCCTTAAACTGCTAACTCCTCAGTCAATTGATGGTGTTTTTACAATGGCGCAACATGAGATGAAGGAGGTGGTTGACCTTGATGATGAGGTACCTATCATACAAAGTATATACACTGCAATAATTTAATGAATTCTTTGTTGAAGCCATTTGCATTAAAAAATTGCAAACTTGAGAGAATTTCCCTCAATTCAATCTGGGTTGCATTAAGCTTTAAAATTTTTGTATTTATTGCAATTGACATGAAAGAACACACATCTTATACAGAGTGGAGTGACACTGTATGGGACATCTAGGGTGACCAAATTATGCTTAATAAAAGACATTGTCACCAACTTGTCAAAGAAGAGAGACCCTAGAATTATGCTCTGATTATTACTAAACAAATACCATAAAATTCAGAAAATAAACCCTGGGGCTTATATTTTTCAAAGGCCCTTTTTGAGGGGCTTATTTTTGAAGGGGCCTATATTCAGAGGGGCTTATTTACGGAATGAAATTTGCGTTTCAAAATCGATTGGGCTAGCCTTGTAGTTGAAAGTAAATTTACCATTTTTGCTTTGTTTTACTTCGTATTTGAGGGCAATTTTGCCAGTACAAGTCCCCAGGGGGCTTATATTTGGAGGGACGATTTAACGGAGGACTTTTTGCATTACCCATTTAGGGGGCTTATATTTGGAGGGGCTTATACATGGAGGGGCTTAGTTTCAGAATTTTACGGTAGTTATTGTTTGTCTTTTAAGAGACCCTTAACTTCCTCGTTTATTAATTTGAAGGGGACACAAAACAAACTACACTGTTGTTCAAATGGGGCAGTCATGGATGTAAGCCTGATAGCCTACATGGTAGGCATTGAAAGAGGAAGGGAAACGGGAAATTCACCAGGCACGAGGGTACGAGCAGCAGTCTTCTTCGCTGCCACTTGGGCTGGTGCTCCCTGCCCTTATGTAGGGAGCATTGACTCCAGCCCAAGCAGCGGCAAAGTAGTTTAGAGCACAAGGGTGCCTTTTAATGCCTGTCATGTAGGCTATTAGGCTGATTGTGTGGATCACCTACTGACAGTGGGAGCCTATGATATTAGATAAATTATATAATTATATATGTATATTTTATCAGATCAGATGATTATATTAACACAGTAAACCAAAAATCTTTAATTTTATTTATCTTAAAAATGATACTGGGGGGTACTCTAGAATTAAATAATAATTTATTATTGATGGGAATGGTCAAAGTATTTTCTCGGGGTTTTGTTTTTTTTCCATTTTGTTTTGGGGTAGAAAAATTTGGCAAGTAATTTTTTGGGGACCTTGATTTAAGTACAGATTTTTGGGGTATTCAAAACAATCTTAAAGTTGGCTAGTACTGCATGTGTAAATGTGGATTGCATAGTTCTGGACTACCAGAAGAGGAAACGGTAAATGCAGATGGTACATTGAATAAATAACAAGAAACATTTCTTTAATCTTGCTTGTAATGTCTGTAATTGATGACTTTAATGTTGTTCTCTCGGTTAGGTAATAGAACAAAATTTAAAGAAGCTGCTATTTTATTATGGAGCCACTGATCACTGGACTCCAGTCTCGTATTACGAGGACATGAAAGAAAAGTTTCCTGATGGTGAAATTTATTTGTGTGAAAGGAAGTTTAAACATGCGTTTGTTTTGGAGTCTTCAGAAGAAGTTGCAGAAATGGTGGCATCTTGGATACAAGAGGTAATTGCATAAAAAGCTGGGACATTTTAGATATTTTATTGTGAGGCCCTGTTGGTGTAAAAATTTCGACAAGCGACATGGCCGTGAAACAGTGACGTAGGACAGCAGCAATGGCAACAAACGACACAAAGATGGGTTGAAACCATGACAACAACAGAGAAATACATTAGAAAATACTAACAGTGACATAGCATCTTCTTTTATTCGTGAAATGACAGGTTTTCAAATTCAGACTAAGGACATATGTAACCCCTTTAAGAGGGCCTCTCCTGTCAGGTTTTTTTGTCTCTAAAATAGCAGAGACAAATTTCTTGAACCCATCTGGCAGAAAAACATGCTCTAAAGAAGTACAATTCCCAAAAATCTTTTGAGTGAGGACAAACAGATCTCCTCTGAGCTTTTAGTTCTGTATTTATAATCATCGTTTTTAAGATAGATCATAACAAAATTAGAACCTTCAACCTTCAACAAGTTTTGAACGTGATTTTGATGTTAAACACCACCTTCCATTACAAAAAGAGGCAGGAAAGATATCATAACTGCTTCAGCACTGTTTTAATCAAATGAATCAGGTAAATAATTAACTGATAAGTAGACAAAAACAAATAGGAATGAAGAAAATATTAATAAAAATGATTATCTTTCAGAAACATTTTAGAATAAAAGTGGGCGATAAAAACACTGAAAGATGGTGTTTTTATCACTTGCTTTTAATCCAAAGTTGTTTACAAAATCGTTCATTATTAGAATATCAGAGGGAAAATTGGAATATTACGTGTGTAATTGATATATAGAAGATAATTATATGTATTTAGAGCAGGGTATCTGGGCTATAATTATGGTTTAAGGTGGCCGTCAACTGAGTGAGATTGGCTCAGACTGAGTGTACCTGAGTAAGATTTTGAAGACAAATATAATTGAGGTTTCCCAATAGAGTTCTTCATTCCCGTAATCCAGACCCAAAAATTTCGTTTAATCCCGTTATCCTGATGGTTAACTTATTTTTGGCAACTCACATCCCGCGCACAACTTCAAACCCGAACTTCGTCCCGCGTTTGCTTTAAAATCCTGAATCCCGAGTTTCGAATAAGGGACATCTAGAATCCCGAAAAACCTTTTGGGGACCCTCATGTAGTAACATTATTCATTATGTTTTTATATATAATAGACGTGTTTTTTTTGTTTTACCCCATAACAAACCTGTTAAGCAAAGTTCTGTCAACGCTTTGACGTTAAGTTACCATATTAAACTATGTTATAACCTGTTGAAAGACCTTGTTAGACCCTCGTTTTTGGCATGCCAAAGTCTGAAAAATGCGTCATTTTTAGTTGGGGGCGCATTCTGGTCAAATTCCTTGTCTTTTAGCAGTGTTGTTATTATTAAACTTCCCAACATTTTATTGGGTTAAAATGCCTCAATGAGACTGGAATCCTTGGCCCTGTAATCTTGAAAGTGTGGATAATATTTAGAATGGAATGGGTGTAGGGAGGTCAAGACGGAGTGAAACAATATTTAGGATTTAATTGTGACTCAAAATTTAAATTTGAAGAAAGGACTGAAAAACGGTAAAACAAGACATTCACCGTACTATACTATGGCCCGCGAACGCATTTCCGGTTGCCGCCTCCGTCTGGGCAGAGAGAGAAGGAACATCCGGAAATACGTCACCATTCTCAGGTCACCACGCCAACGTGCCTTTGCACCCATTGGACTGACTGGTCGGTGTGTATACTCTTTCACTGTGAATTTACTCTCATTTCCAGCGAAAATTCAGCTAGAACGCGGTAATTCGTCCTTATGTTTAAAATTGCATTTACATCGAAACTAGAGCGAGGGATGCGTTGCTAAATTACATTAGTACGGAGCTAAGCAAAGACGTTTTTGAGCGACCACGTCAACCGGATGTAGTTTTTTGCATTCTTGTAAAGTAGCAGTTAAAGTAGGCTTTTTGCATTCCTGGGCAGTGGCCTCGCTCAAATGTTCAGGCGAATCGTGCCTATTAAGAGTTAAAACACTTAGCTATACAAATTTGGTAGCGTCAAGACCTGTCAAGGCATGTTAAAATGGAAATGACCTTAGTTCCGGTTGACGTACTTCGCTCCAAAACGTCTTTGATTGCAGCCAGTCATAGCTGAGTAGGATTGTGGGCGGGCATCGGCGAATGAGCTCGGAACTAAAGACTGAAGGCTCTAGCTAGAAGATCAACTGCGGGCCGGCATTAGTGGAATGTTTGAGAGTTTGTGGGAAATGGATTGTATTTAGCGGAAAAGGAATCTAATAATAGACTGAAGATCTAATTCCATGCATGAGGCACTTTAATAGAACCTCAAGGGTAATGGGCTCCTGTAATTGCACGTCGTAAATAAAGGGGCTTTCTGTGTCACGTTTGTCTATAATTCATTTTGTCGATAATTCCAACTTTGCTTCCTTATTCGCTGTGGGAATTAATGACAAAGTCACTGCTTCGGTGTCAAATATATGTCTCCCAAGCCAGTGGCGAAACCAGGGGATGGCCGGACCCCCCCCCCCCCCCCCCCCCTATTCTGCACCCAGCACTCCCCCGGAGACAGAAGAAAAAAACAAAAAAAAAAAAAACCCAACCCCCCCCCCCCCCCCCCCCCCCCCCCCCCCCCCGCCCGCCCCACCCCCACCCACCCCACCCCCCACCCCCCAACCAACGAACCACGCACCATTACACCTCTAGAACCAACCCCAACTAATAA